TGAAATAATTCCACACACGATATTTTCTACTAAAAAACCGGTTTTTGAATTTCATAATTTTCTCCAAAAACCAGATTTTTAAAACCGGTTTTTAAAAACCGACAAACCCTAATTACTTGCTTGTTTAAAAAATATCAATTCTCAAGTTAAAAATGAAAACGAGTCAGCAATATGTAAAACATATGGTCTGAAATCTAACTAACCCAAATCTTTCAGATCATTAAATAACATTACACAAATTAATAGATCACTTGTTATTTTACGTTGTAATGATGCAGAAATATACCTGAAAAAGTTGACAGTGGCCGTAAACAGAAAATGGTCCTGTTTCAGGCTTATTTAAATTCCGCGTAACATCAGATACTTACTATTTAGATTTCATAATATCGCAGTTTTGTCCGTTATATCTAAGCTGCAATTTTAATTTAGTATTTGTTGCCATTGGGTTGCCTTTTCCTTCAATTATTTACAGCACAGTAGTTCAATTATTCCCTTTAATTGGCGGAAAGCATTTGATTAATTGATTTGTAATTGCATAATAATTACAAAGCTTGTTGTTGCAGGAACGCAGGAGCATGGTTCTCTTCGTCGATCTCAATTAAGTGGTAAGTCATTCTATTTACATGTTATTAATTTCTGAGTGAATTTAGTTAGTTGTCGTTATACGAGGTACTTATTAAATATCGGTTAAACGACATTATTAACGGAAATATGAGATTTTCAAATGATACCTTCAGATTGAGAGAAACTGAAGGCTCAAAAGTGGATTTGAAAGAAAATACATTATAGGCTTTGAAGCTGAAAGTTAAACAATTTTTTTTCCATTCCAAATAATTCAGAAAACAGAAATTTCATATTTACTGCGTTACCTGTAATCGGTTTTGATCATCTGAATCATTTTAACACCGATACATTTTCTAGATACCGAAAGCTATCAGAATATGTGTCAGATGTTTTCGCCTGATTTTTCTGTGCTCGGAGTTGCGGAAAGACTGGAACGTAAAAGTGCAAATCTATACACTGTTGTATGCATTTATACTCTGAAGCGGTAAAAATTCAACACATACTGCACATTGCACTTTGTTCTGAATTCTGAATTTGTTCTGAAAATTTAGTAAATTTTTATTGACATTAGTTGCGTTTCTGCAGGTTTGGAAACTTTTGTAGCTTTAGAATTGTTGATGTATTTAAAGAGTTACTGATGTGTTTTTGGATTTTGAAAAAAAATCATTTGTACGTGGAAAATTTTGTTTAGTACGTTGCAAGAAGTTAAAATAGTAAAGATTCCAGGAACCGATCTTGCGTTTGATGTGACTAACGGTTGATCAATACTTCGTAGAACTTCATTGTAATACTGTGCAAGTATATATTTTAAATGAAGGTAGACTTTTTCACACTTAGGACTTTTAGATCTAGATCCGAGAGAAGATCGACACATATTTGTTTATAAATTTGAAGACATTTATTAAAGAAATGCAAAATGGGTGTTTGTGATGCTGATTTCGATTTACACAGACATCTTATTAGCCTATTGGTCGACCACCTAATTTTTGTGTTTCTTTAGTAGTTTCGACAATTTGAACGTAGGTGTAGCGAAATAAAATATATTTTTTATGAAAAGCAAATTGTTGCACTCTTGGGGTTTGCTTATAATTTTACGACGGCCCTGATGATGACTTAACAGTCGAAAGCGTTAGCCCATATTTATATTCAACGGTTGATTTAAACCACACCCAGGATCTATATATACACACTATAATACGGATTTACAAAAAGCAAATTAGCCTAGTTTTTCTATTTGGAGCAAAGTTCTTAGTCTTAACAAGGAATTATTATGATTGATTAGAGTTAATAGATAACATAACTGAGTCGGTTTATATAATAAAGCGTGGTAAAAATTAGCTTAAAGACTTGAAAGACAAAATTTTAATAACCGTACAAAAACTACAAAATTTAAATAATTGAATCTGCATACAAAAAATTAACATTTTCCAAAAAAATGGCACATCTTGGAGCAACACGAAATCAGTTTAATGCAATGCAATTTTACAAATTTTTTTAGAAGAGGGTGGCTTTTATGAACATATAGTGTACATTATGACTTTAATCTAGGGAATTAGCAGAAACCTTTTTTACATTCCTCACTCGTTGATCTAAATTTGCAGGAATACACTGGAAACGGTTTAACGTTGTCAGCTTCTATAAAGTTTCCTTTTTTAGTGAGCTAAAAATGAAATGAAATGAAATTTTGTCAGTTTTTTTCAGAGATTTTTTATTGTTTCGGACTTCAATCCGGGAACGGATAATAACAGTCACTAGTTTATTTTTCGCTAGCTATCTTAGTCCCTGTTGAAAAAATGGGAAAATCGCCCGAATTTCTGAGTTTTTGGCCAAACCCTTTTTTCGAAACTTTTTCGCCTCTGATCTCACTGTTCTAGAGGGGGAAAAGCAAAAACAAAAGCAAAATACAACTCTTTCGCTGATTTTAATTTAACTTAAGTTTAACTTACTGTTTTAATCAGGTAAAGTTTTACTCAGGCAAAGTTGCCTACGTCAGAACATGCAAAAATCCACTATTTATGATTGTACGGTTTGCAACAACATAAAAAGGACACTGATTTATAGTTTCACCTTTACTTCCATTACTTTACTGCCTAAATGAAAACGCACTCCCTTGTACAGAATTTATAAAATATGCATTTATTCTTTTTCAACATCATAATTCATAATAGCAAGAGCCAGGCCGTTTGTGACAAGTTATCTGGGTTAAGGGATGCAAAGCTCATTATTCTTTCCAGGCAACATTAATCAATCCGGCAGCGATTTAAATCTGGCTAATGCCCCAGAACTTTCTGGATATTAGCACTGGCTGCCCGGAATTATACATTTTCTCTCTTTTCATAAAAGACGTGATTTTTGGTCCGAAACTGCTGTTTGTACGACTTAAATTAATGCTAACTTTCGAGAACGTAATTATTTGCCCTATGGAATAAAGTTTTATTGTTTTCTTGGTGATTCTTTCGTGTATACCATTAATCTTAT